AACATGGATATATATAATTAAGCCTTACTTCTTAACATATATTCTTTTCTGCTGCATAGATCTCAAACATTATTTCAGTGAAATCTCATCATGTGTATACGATTATACCCTCTTCTTGATGTTTGATCAGTTCTTGCAGCAGCTCCTGTGCTAATATTTACATTGAAAACTGAAAATAAACCTCTGTTTTGAAAGAAAACCCCATTGTATTTACAAAGCAAAACACTCCAAAGTAGAAAGAAATACAGGTACAGAACTAATGAATAACAAAAATAACGGATCCACAAAACAACTTGTATTTATATAGCACCTTTAACATAGTAAAATATCCCAAGGCCTTTCACAGGACCAAATCAAAAGAAACATGAGGACTGGTGAGAAAAATCTTGGTCAAAAAGGAAGTGGTGGAGGAGCAGAGGGGCATCGTGGAAAGAATCCCAGATTTTAGGACCCAAACAGCCAAAAACATAGCTGCCAGTAGTGGGATAAACAAGGACCTGGTTGCAAACAAAACCAGAATTGGAATTCTTGGGATGCTCTTTGCAAAATATATACTCTCAAATGATCTCCAATATTGAGGCAATCTTTCAAAGCTGTCAAACTAAAATCGCATTAAGGGGACTAAAAATTAAAGTTTGTTCAACTTTCCATGTCATTCATTTTCAACTTTTAAGGAATCAGATAGATGCTGCGCTGTTTTACTGGATACTGCTGCAGTCACATTAAAGAACTGTAAGATGAGGACAATCTTGCTTTAAATCCCTGCGATAATATTTTAATGGCTCTGTGCACCGACCGTCCCTCTGAACTGAGTTCCGATAATAAACTTCAGTGCTTCACCATTAACAGTTGCTGTGGGAACTCCTCTAACCTCCCAACTACTTCCAGTGGGTAAAAGAAAAGCATGTTTCTTTCACATTTCCTCCATTAATACATGCAGTATTTACACCCTTTGTGTGGCCTGAAAGCATTTTTTCTCAGCCTGCCACACTTAAATTGATATGAAGCATCAAATTATTTATGAATTACATTCTTAAATGCACGGTATAAATAGATTTTGTCAGGCCAACAGTACACTGTGATAAATACCTCCAGTTGCGGAGCTGACCATAACTTTCTCAAGACCTGGTCACTTGCAACTTATCAACTAGATTTATTTACAATGATATTTATTGTACGTCATACTGTTTGTCAGGACAAATTCTCAACTATTAATTCATAGGAATTTTCAAGCATGGTAACTTTTAGGGGTAAAAAATGTTGACAGGGAGTTGGCCCACTGTTTCAGGTGAAAATCAAAGCCTGGGATTCCCACTCAGCTGCAAGGAGTTGCGGGTGGGAGTGTAGGAGAGGGTTTATGGGAGTAAGTTTTTGGGACTGAGTGTGCAGGTGTGTGTGTGTGTTTGTGGTTTGCAAGACATGAGCTTCCTGGCAACAATCAGAACTTGTGCCACTCTTGGGAAATTGGGAAGCAACAGGCTTACATTTGGACAAACCTGAGGGCTAAGGACTGAAGCGAGGCAAGTCAGCTACCAGAAAAGTGATCTCTAAGGGCTGGGTTATCAAGGAATTGGTCTTTGAAAATGGCAGACATTACCCAATTTGAGGATTCGTACCCCTACTCCTAGCTCCTGCACCTTTTGCTAGTACAAGAGAGCAATGTGGTCCCACACTCTGCCTTCTTGAATTGGGTGGCTTCATTGCAGGTTTGGGCATCTCTTCCACACACCCACACCCCCACCTGCCTACCCCTGAAATTGTGAAGTTACACCAGCTTCTCAAGGAGTTGTGTTTCATGGCCCCTCAGAAATATTGTGAACCACAGTTTGGATTTGGCAACTTTCCAGGGCGTAACTTTAAAAGATCTTACCGATGGCCTCCATGCCAATGTATGCTCCCCCACTCACCCCTAATGGCCCCTCATACCCTTCATGCTGGCCATCCTTAAAAAGTCCATTCTTCTCCAAATGCAAGTAAATTCTGTCCCTAAGAATCTTCTCCAATAATTTCTCTACCTCTGATGTGAGGCTCCCCAGCCTACACTTTCCCGCATATCCCTGTTTCCCTTCAAGAACAAAGGAGCAACATTGGCTATTCTCCAGTGTTTTGCAACCTTGTCCGTGGCTAAAGAGTTTACAAAGATCTCTGTCAAGGTCTCAGCAATCTCCTCCCTTGCCTCCTTCAGTATGCTGGGATAGATCTCATCAGGCCCTGGGGTCTCATTGACTTTAATGTTTTTCAAGACATCCAACACCTCCATATTCTAAATATTGCCATGTCTTAGACTATCAACACACTCCCCTCTAAAGACTCATCCATGTCTATCTCTTTTGTGAATGCTAATGCAAAATATTAATTAAGGATTGCACCCACTTCCTATGCCTCCAAACATAAATTCCCTCCTCTGTCCATGAGTTAGCTACCCTTTCCCGAGTCACCCTCCTTCTAATATACATATAAAATGCCTTGGAATACTCCTTAATCCTTTTCCATGACTGTCTTAAAACATATGGAATTATGATCACTGATCCCAAAATGCTCTCCCACTGAAACTTCAATCACCTGGCTCAGCTTATTCCCCAATACAAGGTCTGATACCATCCCTTCCCTATTTGTACTACTTACATATTAGTTCAAGAATCCCTGCACCTTACAAATTGTGTCCCATCTATGTCCCTGGCACTAAGGTAATTCCAGTCAATATTGGTGAAATTAAAATCATCCACTACCACAACCCTGTTTGTTTTACATCTTTCCATGATATGTTTAAATATCTCTTTCTCTAATTCCTGCTTTTATGGGAAGCCTATAATATGAGCCCATCATAGTGATTGCACCTTTTCTTATTCCTAAATTTTACTTATATGGCCTCGCTCGATGAGCCCTCCAAGATGTCCTCTCTTTGTGCAGTTATGCTTCTCCTTTTTCAGGAATACAGTACAATTCCCCACTCCTTTTACATCCCCTCTATCATGCCTGAAACATCTAAACCTTGGAATGTAGAATTACCAGTCTTGCCCTTCTTTCAACCAAGTTTATGTCATGGCTACACAGTGCAGTCTCATATCTTAATCCAGGCTCTAAACTCATCTGCCTTATCTGTTATACTTCTTGCATTAAAGTAAATACACTTTGGACTGTTAGTCCCACTGTGTTCATTAACCTGGCCCTGCCTATTCTTCCTCCTAGACTTACTTGATTCAGCCTCTCTCTTCTCTTTAAACACTCCACATGCTGACCTACTGTTCTGGCTTCCACCCTCCTGCCACATTAGTTTAAACTCTCCTGAGGAGGACTAGAAAACCTCCCTTCAAGGGTATTGGTGTTCCTCCAGTTTTGGTGCAACCTGTAAATTAACATTTTAATGATGCTTTGACGCTCTGTTTGATTGTCACTTTCAAAGGGTGATAGGAATACCAGTTTTTTTTCTCAAAGGGTTATGAATGGGAGTTTCACCCAAGCCATTGTTACAATGAGGTGAATTGGTTCGGTACCTTGTGCGTACTGGTGAGTGAGTACAGGGGAGCATGAATCGACATATTAGAAATGATGGATCTTGGTGGCAGCATGGAAGAAGTGTGGGTATGAAATTACTTTGGAATTCTTCCTGAAAGGATGGCTCATGACTCCTCTGAGAATTGTCCCGAAGAAGCTTAGAGGTTCCCATCCCTGCAGTGCTGGTCAGGTTGAACGGTTGGTGTGCAGGGCCACTAACCACAACCTTATCCTGCACTGGAGAAAATTAGGGGCATTGGTAAAAGGAGCAGAGATACCAGAATTGGGTATTGTTCACCATTTTTAAATGGCTCTAGAATACCTTCCGAATTTGTGAAAATTTGTCCACTAAGTTGGCAGACTATTTAGCCCTGAAGCCCAATTACTGATGCAGAGGCAGGTGTGTTAGATGCATTTTCCTTGCGTGCACCACAGACACTGGGCTGGTTGATGCTTTGTTGTTGCCCTGTTGGAATTGGTCAAGAGACCACAGACAAATACTATATATAATACAAATATTTAACACCGTATGAAATGCATGGACTATGTTGTAATGAACAAGACATAGGTGATACCCCATTCTCCCTGTGCTGTGGCAAATTCTCAGTAATTTATTTCTTTATCACAGTTTTCTGCAAAACCTGTGAAAGGTAAAAAAAAAACTTTCTGTCTGTTTCAGAGTGGTTAGTACAAAGGCATTTTGTATTTGATAAAATTCCAAATATACGCATGTCTCGTTGAACCGAAAACTTCAAAAGAATACTTCATCTATAAACACAGTAAACAAGTAATAGTTATAAGTTGATGTCATCTCTGACGAATTGCCTGCGAACCAGTTTAGTGCTTAATTGTCTAAAAACTCAAATTTACAATGCAGCAATGTAACATGAGCACAGGAACTTGGGAAGGAGAAATGGCCATTCACACCATCCAATTCACTCTGTTAGCCACATCTGGTTTCAGCAGGTGATTTGATCATTTTTCATCTTTTGCAGCATGTACCGATATCTTTTCACTTTCAGCTGAATCAGTAATTGACCCAATTCCCTTTTGAATACTTCAACTAAGTCAGCATTTGCTACACTAGGTGCCAGCCTATTGCATAAATCAAAAACTCCAAGCGTGAAGACGTTATTTCTGAAATCTAGTTGAGACCTCTTCAGATTCCAATCATGTCCTCTGATTTTTATATGTTAATTTGACACATAATGCCTCTCTCAACATTGCCAATATCAGTTCCCTTTATCATTGCTTCAGGAATTTAAATTTGCCCTGTTCTTTAATCCTTCAGAGTTGTTGATTTATGAAATAAACTGTTACCAGCTGTGGGTTTCAGACATTTTATATGCAGAATAATGAATTGATGGGAGTGAGTTGTAGGCTGCAATCTGATAACAGCCTGCAATGATTTAGTCAGAGAATAATGGTTCCTTGGAAAAGATTCATCTGCAAGCTCCAAATTTTAAATGGAATGGTTTTGTAACTGGCATATTGAAATAGTTAACACCAGCCTACTCTGAAAATGTAAATGCTGGTTACTGAGGAGCATCTGCATGGATTAAAACTCTCATTAAAAAAAAATCTTTTAGTGTCAAACATGATTGGTGATGCAAGAATATTATAGCATTGCACATCATTGACTCTGCCTCTGTGTACAATGACAGCAGTCTTGCACGGACCTTTCAGTTGCTTTCAGCTCTTAAAGCTCTCACTGGTTCGAACAAGTTGAGCATATGTTTCCGTTTTAAGGCAAAAGGGCTGAGAAAACCGATACTTGTGTAACGTTAGGTTGTAAATGAAATTGGGAATTGTACATTCACTTTGTTTTCTTTGGAGGGGGGGTGGCTTGTGCAAAATCAAATCAATTCAACAATGTTCACCTTGGTCATGCTGTGTTATGAACACACTAGAACATGATGATGCTGTCAATTGCAGCAGCCTGCTGTTTTAGTGCTAATCCATGAGCCCCTTATTGTGGTTTTAGGGCAGACAGGAGGAATATAACAGATTCTTAAGTAATTTGCAATTTTGCTCACCAAAGAACATTTAATTTGATTTAAAGGCTGCATTTTATGTTAGCTCTGTCTTCCAGCTTCACTCAGAGACTTGAGTTTGAAGGCTCTCTATGATGCAAAGCAGTTCCTAATTTTGACTCTGTAGAAGCAGGCTTCTTGTTTGGCCATTGTTGAACACAATTTATGGGTATTGTTATGACGGGAATGGCCAAACCCCTCTGATAATTAAACTAAAGCACAAGCCCTGATCTGTTATGACAGGAGGAGGGGCTCCCCTCTAATAATTACCCCCTAAACACCCAGAGAAGCTTGTCTTTCCCCTCGTAGTCTATTAAAAGACGTTAAAAGAAAGAAAATCCCTGATCTCCACTTTACAAGTAACAAGAAACAATTTATTTTTTTAACCCATTAATTAACAAATTAACAAAATTACCAACAAACTGACAATTCCCTCCTAGGCTACTAACTACTTCCTAACTGGTCTAAGTGCTACCGGAATGCTGTTTAAATAAAGACAAGTCCCACTAATGTAAACCCAATTAATAAGAAGCAATAAACTATAACTTCATCCCTCCAAATTCGCACAGCCTGTATTTTGTCATCTCCAGTCTCTTCACAAACGCCTTTCTTCTGTTAATTCTGTTGGCAGGGATGTTTTATCTCTATCATTTCTTCAGTGAGGACTTTGAGCTAAAATACCATGGTAAATTTGATTAATTGGATGGGCTTTGTCTGAGAGCTGAATGGTGCAAACTCTGGCAGGTGGCAGTTGTCTCTCTCTTTCAGATGGCAGTTGGCTCTCTCCAATTTTCCAAGTGCCCTTGTCTTATCTACCCATAATGACATAGTCAAATTCTTATGCTTGGTTTCAGGTTGTCAACACCATCAGATTTAAATTCAATTGGCTTTCGGTTTCTAGGTGCTTTGTTGAAATTAATTGGCCAAATTCAAACTGTTGTCACAACATCAAAACAAGCATTTTCTGAAGAAGGGTCTAGACCCGAAATGTCAGCTTTCCTACTCCTCTGATGCTGCTTGGCCTGCTGTGTTCATCCAGCTCTACACCTTGTTATCTCTTTATCAAAACAAGTTTGCTGTCTTGCCTGCCACCTGTAAGGCATTTTTTGATACACTTGCTTCACTTTTTGAGGCTTCCTGTACTGGCAACTTCAGCTGCTGCTCACAGACATACATTTCTTCCCCCCTAAAAAAAAGTCTGAGTACAGACAAAGTACAAATCTCTTAAAGGAACCACACATTTTAGCTTCCTGCCTTCCACTTCACAATTACTCCACCCAACTTCAGAACACTATGTCCAGTAGTGTCCTTCCTCCCTATCTCAAGAACCAGGCATTTGTTAACTTTGGGGACATGAAAAGTTAAATAACTGAAGAAAAATACAATGAATAATGCTGCTTAATGCTGACTGCGGTAGTGTTGGAATCTGGTAGTAGTGATTTCTCACCAAGGTGGTATGTTATGTCGATTATGGGTGCCAACTTAGGTTTGATGTTTTCCTTGGAAGTTTTATCGTTCGACTTATCACCCCAAACCTCCTTCTCCCCCCTATTATTTTATCCACAATGAATGTTCAATGTAAATTGAAAAAAGCACACAATTTGCTGTAATTACTTTTTCCCTAGGATTCTGCTCATAACCCTGTGTCCAAGAGATTTACATATCCCTCTCAGAAATTCTAGGGCACTTGTGGAGGGTTGGCAACCTTGGGTTTGACTGAGAAAAGCTAACATTTAAATGCAGTCACTACATATGTCATTTTGCCACCTTTCTTGCCTAGGTCCTGATTTTACTTAATGCATTTCACACAGTGATATTGGAAGTTTCTGATATTTAAAGAGACTTATTTCTGCATAATAAAGATGGAATAACATTCCATGCAAATCACATGATGAGATTACCCCAGACAAAATTCAGTTATTGAATTTGTAGACAAGTACAGAAGCATTTACTGATCCTGCTTGGCAGAAATGTCACTCCTTTAAACAATAAATACTGGGAGTACAATATTAATAGCAATTTCATAATGATAGCTATTTACAAAACACTAGCTTGCTAATGCATATAGGAAACCAGAAAACCTCTCAATGAACTTGTTGTGAGCACAGATTAACGATTAATGTGAATGGCCAAAATTAATTCTTGGCAGAAATGGTCAACAATAATTCTTGCCTATCCCCTTCCTAACTCCCTACCTACACTCACCTTTACTGGCTCCATCCCCGCCTCTTCGACCTGTTTGTTTCCTCTCCACGTATCCTCTCCTCTATCCCTCTTCTATTCGCCTCCCACTCTCTCCCTATTTATTTCAAAACCCCCTTCCCCTCCCCCTTTTCTGATGAAGGGTCTAGGCCCGAAACGTCAGCCTCTCTGCTCCTATGATGCTGCTTGGCCTGCTGTGTTCATCCAGCCCTGCACCTTGTTGTCTCCAATAATTCTTGCTTTCCCTTATACAATGGAAATCAAGAGCTTTCAAAATTTGTCAAAATTCTAGGAATCAACAATCAGTCCTACTAAATAGTCTGAAGATTGAATTTATTCTATATGGTCAAATATTCTAAAATTAATTAACACAGTTATCAATATTAGCTTAAAAGCTCCAATCCAAATTTGAAAACAAAGTTCTTTTTACCTCCAATATCATCATTGTTCTTTAGCAGATAGAAGGAATAAAGTTGTCAATAGCTATGAATGTGCAAAAAGGTTGCTACTCAACGATTTCAGCTACCTGCACCAACCAGTTGAACTTTGATTCTCGGAAGCTAACTTATCTTGAAGAAAGTTTTGTTTTTATGTTCCCTTCACTGTTTTTCTGTGTCGGTCTCCTCCAGGTAACCCCATTTCACACACCACTACTTGGCTAAAAACCACAAGTCATCCGCTGCCAAGTAGCTGCTGCAGGGTTTCTACAACCACCTTTAGAAACTTCCAAAAAGAAGATTAGTTGATCTGCCTTCTGATTTTTCCTTTCCCTTTATGTAGAGTTCCTTGCCTTCAGCTTGGGACTCTTCCTTTAATTCCTTTCATGTACCCCTTCGCCCACCATACTCCCCCAGTCCCTAGCATCGCTACAGCCTGCCTGAGATAGAAACGTGAATTGAAATCAATGCTGTTAAAAAAATTCAAGCAGTAGGATTGGTTGCTAGTTCAGTGAAAAAAGAAACACATTGCAGATCTGGAGGAATAGTGTTAAATCTGAGATACGCACCAATGAAATATGCCAGGACTATAGCCAGTACTACTGAAGCAGCGATAGCACACAAGGCAGCACACTTCCAGCTACAGTACTTCGATGGCTTCTTAAGTTTGAAAGCATTTCGGGAGAAGGTGCTTCGCGGCAAAAGGCGTGGAGGTGGAGAGTAGACAGTACCAGAGGTTAAAGGATAGCCAGGCGTGGATGTACTGAACAGAGGTGTTGTCCCAGAAGAAGTCTTAAAAAGAAAGTGCCTGAAAGAGAGAAAGGAAAGAGGCTTACAATATCTACCCAAGTGCCTGAAAGTTCTTACGTATTTCTCGCCTGGCTAGTCAGAAGATGATACAAAATACATGCCATTCCATCTCCAAATTTTAAAAAATTACTTTTCCACTTGCTTTTGTTCTAAATTTTCAGTTCTGTTTCGAGTGTCATTCCTGTCCAATCAACATAATCCTTTGAGAAATAAACATTTGAACTTGAAAATCATAGTATAGTAATTTGGTATTTTTGCTCCACTGGCCAAAGTTAGCACATATACATTGTGTAACAAAATCAGAATGGTTGCAGTCACAAACAGATTCACATTTTACCCAATTTACAGAGAAAATTACCTTCTAACATAAAAGGAAATAACAGGAAACATTGCTGTAATGCCACTGGTGAACACTTCATTTTGATTTCTGCACCAGGAATGGTAATCTTTATTGCACACTGTTGGGCAAGAGTCCAAAGACAGCAGGATTCATTGGGCAGAGAGTTGCATGTAGCATCTTGCTCAGAACTTGTAATGGCACGCAGTTGTTTTCTAGATATTTACATAGCCAGCTGAAGCAAAAAAAGGCTGCTACTGGTGCCAACTAATCTCACACCTGTAAACTGGAGCTGATAGACATTGATAATTTTTTGTTGGGTAAGGCATAACCAAGATGGGTCAATGGAGTTAAGACACACAATAACCATAATCTAATTGAGTGGCAGGGCAGCCTAGAGGGCTGAATGGTGGATTGTTTCTTTCTTTGCCCTGATCCGTAGTTCGATAGAGCACTTGTGGATTGGACGGCAGGACTTTAGAATTTGAGGTTGGTAAAATGATAGCGGGGAAGAGTGTGTGGTCCCTTTAAAAGATGACGTGCTTTTTCTAGGCTTGGAGAGAGAAAGAAAGGTCTGTGGGCAGCTTGTGAGTTTGCAGGTGCACCGAGCATCTGAACTGTAACATTGTCGTAGCAGGCAAAGCAGCATTTTTATCAAGACAACAAATTTGAACTATGCCAATTAATTTAAACTAGGCCCTTAGATACCAAAACCCAATTAAATTTAAATCTGATGGTTTTGACAACATAGGACCAATCCTATTGTAAGGAATTGATATGCCATCAAGGGTGTAAAAAGGCGAGGGCATTTGGAAAATTGGCTGAGAACCAACTGCCATCTGAAAAGAAATCGCTTTCAGCTCTTAGAAAAAGCATTGTCTAAATAAATGTACTGTGGCACTCTTAGCTAATGTTCCTGACACAAGGATTTAAAGGAGAAGAGGTGTTCCTGACAGAAGATCAAAGGAGAAGGCTGAGAACATTATGGAAAATGTACCCTGGCTGTAATTTCAAGAGACTAAGTTCTAATTTTTTTTATTATTATTTTGGTTTATATAAGTGGGACTTTTATTTATTGGAACAGCATACCATTAGAATTTTGTTTTATTCGGGAGCAGTTGGTAGTTGGAGGGGAATTGTTTGGTTTGTTAATAGTGCAGTTAATTTGTTCACTGTTAGAGTTAGATAAATAAATTGTTACTTTATGATCATACAGTGAGTGTCAGGAGTTTATTTTATTTAACTTCTCCTTTATAACAATTAGGGGTGAGAGACAGTTATACTACTTTTCACATTTCTCTTAACAGATTATAGGGTGACGTGCGCCTCTCTGGATGTTTCGGTTTTAGTTATCAGAGGGGGTGAGGGCGGACCTCTGCTTTATAACAGTCCTTAATGACAAATATTAATAAGATTTACCTGAAGGAAGAAGATAGCTCAATAACATAATCTCAGTCTGGCATCCAGAGGATCAGCAAATCCTTTTATGCCATACTGTATGACATGAAGCCCGCAGATAATGTGGCCTCCCAGTCATTCCTGTCCTTTATCATAGAGGTTTTAGATGACAACCCACGGGAGAGGCTGGACCAGTTGTAATCTCTTGTTTAGCTGACCAAGGCCCTTGAGTCCTTAGAAAAGAATAAAACTTCCCAAAGCTATGGCTTACTGGCCGAGTTGTACTCAGCTCTGTGGGACTTGATTGGCCAGGACCTGCTGGAGGTGTATAGTATTATGTTTCTACAGGTAGCATGTGCAAATCCATGAGTAAAGGTATAATCACTCTCATCTATAAGCGGAAGGGGGAGAAGGAGGAAATTAGAAATTGGCGACCACTTTCACTGATAAATATGGATTACAAAATCTTGTCTAAGGTTATCGCCATCCGGATCTGGACTGCTCTGTGATCAGTGATTCACCCTGACCAAACCTGTGCTGTACCAGGCAGGACAATCTCTGACAGCCTTGTGCTCCTCAGGGATACGATCGACTACACGCAGGACAGGGTGCTGGATGGATGCCTTATCAGCGTGAACCAGGAGAAGACCTTCGACAGGACATCACACGTGTACATGTGGGACGTGCTCTCCAAAGCGGGCCTTGGGGAAAGAATCTGCAATTGGATCCGACACCAACATTGTTAGTGTAGTCTCAATCAATGGGTGGCTTCCTGATCAGATCCGGAGTCAGGCAGGGCTGCCCACTCTCTCCTGCCTTGTTTTAATGTTGTATTGAGATTTTTGCAGAGACCGTCATGAGGAATGCAAGCCTGAGAAGGATGACTATTCCAGGCAGCAGAGGCCTGCAGGTCAAAACCTCCCTGTACATGGATGATGCCACTGTTTTCTGTATGGATCATGCCCAGACTCATGATCATCTGTGACCAGTTTGAACTGGCCGCAGGAGTCAAGGTAAATTGAGGCAAGAGCAAGGCTATGTTCTTTGGGAACTGGGCCGATTGATCCTCTGTCAGGACACATTACCTGAAGGTGCTGGGAATATGGTTCGGAGGGGCTGGGGTGTCTGCAAAAACTTGGGAGGAGCGCATTGCCAAGGTGATGCAGAAACTGGGCTTTTGGAAGCATTGCATCCACTCCACCGTGGGTAAAAACCTGGTCATTGGGTGTGAGGCACGCTCTCTGTTGTTGTGTGTGCCACAGATCTGGCCCATTCCCAGAACCTGTGCCGTTGCAGTCACCTGAGCCAATCTTCCACCTTACCTGGAGGTCTAAAATGGACCATGTCTGCAGGGGCACCACATACAAAGGTCTAGATAAGGGGGTGGAAGAATGTCCTCAACGCTGCCCTCATCTTGATGGCCACCTCTGTGTGTGGCTGCATATAGCTGTGCATAGAATCTCAGTATGTAAACACCAAACGTCACTACGCACTGGGGTTCCACTTGTCCCCATGTTGCAAAGGATGGGACTGGCCTCTACCTGTGAGATCCTTCATGTACGCCCGGACTCTCTGCGGCACTGCATGCTGCCCTTGAAACAGATGTGGGATGGTAGAGACTGTTGGACATCTCTTTCTGGAATGTGCCTTTGCAAAGGAAGTCTGCAGAGCGATGCAGTGGTTTTTGACGCGGTTCATCCCAAGCAGGTCCATGACATAAGACATTGCTCTACAGCCTGTTCCCCGGGACGTTTGCTGAGATAAATTTTGACTGGACCTGGAGGACCACTGACTCTGTGAAAGACGCTCTTTGGTCTGCCCGAAACCTGTTGGTCTTTCACAGCGAGGAGTTGACACCGCCAAGTGTTGCATACTGGCACATTCCAAGGACCAGGACAATATGTTGAGGGACGCACAAAAGCTTGGGGCAGCTGCTGCCAAGGTGCAGTGGGGAAAGACCACGGTCTGAGGTCTTTTTGCCGAAGTACAACGGGGCTCTGTTCAGTTATTGGACTCATCCATTGCCTCAAATATATGTAAATATCGTCTTGTATAAGAAAGAAATGTTTGTTTGTTGGATAGAGTCAAACTTCAATGTTTGTTTCTTCGTATGTTGCTATACCGAACTGAACTGCTTTAGTGACAATGTAGATACCTAAAGATATTTTTATGAATAAAGAATATTTTGAAGTTGAAAAAATAACAATTTTGTAGATAAAAATTGCTCTTGTCTAGTTGGTTGACTGTCATTATTTTTTGAAATAGGTGGAGGATATTTGCTACTCAGTCGTTAACATTGAGAGCATGTTCTACAAATTCTGAAATTGGAGTTCAACCTATCACTAAACCATCATAATTTCCTCGCAAACCTCACAAGTAAAACATTCTACTTCCATTAATCACTCTGTAACATGACAAGGTCACATGTACCGAGAACATGTTTTCACATTAATTTTGTACATTGTGCCTTTGCGATGTGAGGCTCTTCTGAATATTTTGACTCTCCTTAAAATGATATCCCTTCAAGTTTAGTTGGCTGCTTGCATGAACATGGTGTTAACAAAACCTGGAAACTAATCATGATACTGACAGATTTTGTTTGTGTCAAACATTAGTTGTAGATTTTCTGCCATTATATACACACAAGATGCTAAGGAATTCTAGAACAAGTTGATATCCAGATTAATTGACCTACACTGTGGCCAGCTCATTAGCCTGTAATATTGATTGGCCATCTATCCAGTCACAAAGCAGACATTCTCAGTATCATGCATAGTGCAAGAAATAACGAAAATGCTTTGTAATCTATCAAGTCCATTTGATTCACAGCTTCTGCATAGCTTCACCCAACATAGGCTCCATCCCATTCATATAATCTCAAAGCAATGTTCAACAAAATTTGGTATGGTTGTCAAGGAATCATTGAACAGCAAGCCATCATCAGCTCTCCTCTGATCAATGCTAGTTAATTGTTTTCCACAGGTGACTTTTCCTTGGTACAGAATAAATGATCAGTTCTTTTCCATGGATTTTAAATATGTAAATATATTAAATAAAGGTGGCACGGCGGCTCAGTGGTTAGCACTGCTGCCTCACAGTGCCAGGGACCTGGATTTGATTCCAGCCTCGGTAAACTGTCTGTGTGGAGTTTGTACATTCTCCCGTGTCTGTGTGGGTTTCCTCCGGGTGCTCCGGTTTCCTCCCATAGTCCAAAGATGTGCAGGGTAGGTGGATTGGCCATGCTAAATTGCCCATAGTGCCCA